AACAAGAACAAGCGGTGCGGTTGGCACAAGGGCAAGGCCCTTGGCGGCAGTTCAGTAATAAACGCAATGTTAAACGTGTTCGGCAATGATAGAAACTACAACCAATGGGAGGAGCAAGGCAACGAAGGCTGGGGCTACGAGAACATGCTTCGATACCTTCGAAAGGCAACCAACTGTTCGCCAGAGTACATAGCAAAGTACGGAGACAGACACTGCGGGACGAACGGTCCGATGAGTATTAGGATGTTCAATGATTCTGATTCTATCGTTTCCGAGCTTTTGCTAGATGCAGCTCGGGAGATGGGCATCGGTGTGCTGGAGCCTGTAGTTAGCGACCGCTACATTGGTTTCGGGAGAACCTACGGTATCGTAGATAACGGAGAGCGGATGAACGCTGCCAGAGCCTTTCTCTCTCCCATCAAAGACAAGAAGAATTTGTATGTGATGAAGTCCACCAGAGGCGACAAGGTTCTGCTGAATGGCAATAAGGCAGTGGGTGTCCGTGTGACGTCTGGGGGCAGGACCACAGACTTAACCGCCTCCAAGGAAGTCATCCTGTCAGCGGGTAGCATCGCCAGTCCTCAGTTGCTGATGCTTTCGGGAATAGGGCCCAAGAAGCATCTAGAGGACATGGGAATTCAAGTGGTAGCTGATCTGCCGGTAGGCAAGAACCTCCACGATCACATTTTCTCACAGGGCATAACGATTGGATTTGTAAACGAGGCTACGGCCCCACCGACGTCCTCATTTCCCATGGATGTAGCTTATAATTATTTGATGCATAAAAGGGGGCCCCTTACTGGTGTTGGCGTCGACGTTATAGGATTTGTTAATCTGAACGATCTTCGACAGAGTGCAGAGAGTAAGTAGAGCAATTGAAAGTTCTCATACAGGATGCTCGTTATGCATTAGATTATCAGTTTTAGGAAACTGCGGTATATTTCGTAGAAGTTCAAATATTTCCTGACTGAAACTATTCTTTTTTTTTCATTTCAAATGCCAACACTGGTGCTAACATTTACTGACAACGAGCCCTAGGTAAATGGCTCCCTCTCTTTTTTTCGCTTTCGCATATGTTGTATTATTCAAAAAATTAACCCACACGTGTTTTTTTTTTATATCGACGGTAATTCAGTTGAAAGTGATGAAAACCACTCTCAAAAGTTTAGCATGTTACTCGAATCATTGCAATTTCTCGGTAGCGTGTGATCGAGCACGCGCTGCGGCTCCTTTGACTCGAGTTCCCGGAAGACAACATAAAATGGTCTGTTAGGTATGTCAGATAAGAAAAATCGCGGAGCTACGAGGTACGTGGAAAATATTATATGACCATCGTAGCATGTGGTCTCGATATTACTTTCGAAACGTGGCATGTCGCCTCCGAATTGCCTTCGAATCGTGGTAAAAAAAGCATTGCAATCTACAGTAAACTCTCCCCAATTGTCCTTCAGCTTGGAAATAAAAATGGACAACTTGGGAAGTGGGAATACGATTTTTCGAGTCCCTCGACTCGTTTTAATAGCTGTTGATAATCGGCAACTATAAGTGCGATCCGCGGAGCTCGAAGAATCGTGTCTTGTGGTCCCTTGAAATACGCTTTGAATTCCGACTTGGCGACACTAGTGGAGAAATTACTGTACTTACGTCACACATCAAACTGTTGAGGGTGGTTACAAACCGGATTACCGGATCGGTGGTTAAACCGAATTACCGACGATACAAACTGTACTTAGTTTTCACGTATGTGAAAACGGAAAAAATCGGAGATCTATATTCACCTAGCGTTCCTTATTAGCCAATTTCGAAGGTTGGTTCCTTGACATGTAATTAAATTATTTATGCCGGAATGACAGCAACGGAACAAAATTTATAATAATAACAAATACCATCGAAGGACCATTTTCCGACTAGAATATTTCGACCGCAATCTCATTTCCTTGATAATTTCCGAGGTCACTGGTGTTCAGAATTGATTAACAAAATGAATTCATACTCTCACGATAAGATGGCCGAGAAAGAACCTTGATCTTGTAATCGCAGAGCCATACGCCGGGACCTCGAAGTATCCGGACCTTCAGATTCACTTCGGTCACTACCCAAGATGGGAACCGGTAGAGATAGCCGGCATGTACAACATGATCAACGCGGACGACGAGGTAGTGCAAGAGGCGACAAAGATGATCATGGAGAGCGACATTGTCGTGGCAGCCACCACGCTGCTGCAACCGAAGAGCAGAGGGGTCCTCGAGCTGCGCAGCACCGACCCAGCGGACTCCATGAAGATCTACGCGAACTACCTCGCTGAGAGGGAAGACTTGGAAATCTTGTTGAAGTCAGTGGACTTTATCAAGGCTCTGACGCAGTCCCCCACATTCAAGAAGTACAACATGACGTTGAGACACTTCGACCTGCCCGGGTGCAGGGACAAGCTGCCCGATTCTCAGGAATACTGGGAGTGCAACATCAGACAAATAACTTCCACCGTCTGGCACCCTGTTGGCACTGCCAAGATGGGAACGAAGGGTGATCCTACCGCCGTGGTAGATTCTAGGCTGAGGGTGCACGGCGTGCAGAGGCTGAGAGTGATCGACGCGTCGATCATGCCGAACATAGTCAGTGGGAACACAAATTCGCCGACTATGGCGATCGCGGAGAAGGGCGCTGATATGGTGAAAGAGGATTGGCTGGAGAACTGGTACGTCGAGCTGTAAGATTTTAGTCACAATAATGCACAGGGACTGCAAATTTACCGACTTTTACAACTACCCGTAATTCGGTGATATCTTCTCAGTTAATATCTTCTGACCGGAAATTTATATGTTTTCCAAATCCCAAGGGAAGTATCGATATTAAAAGTAAAAAATATTATTAACACTTTACCGGCCGCTGGTATCACATTTGTATCATGAGCAGTATGTTCAGGAAAAATCGCTACGCAAAGAGTGGGGGCTGGCAATGCGTGCGCAGGAGACCTACACAGCGGCGTGGCGCGTTTACAGGGTGGCACCTATTCTTGCGTATTGCATCTGCAGCTCTGCGTCGCGTCACCATCGTAGTTCAGAATTATAATGTAGTTGCGCCGCGCAGTTGTACGGGAATCCCTTGCGCATGCGCCTTCAGCCCCCACTCCCTGCGTAGCGACTTCTCCTGAATACATTGATCATGAGCTATTTGGTACCAGTATCAGTGGTACAAATTATTAGTTATTTTGAATTCGACTGGGAACGAGTGCGTGGTCGTAAAATTTACCTTAATTTCTTCAATCTTCTGAAAGGTACATGCATTTTTATTTAATGTTACGAATACTTTCAGGATTTAAATTGAAATATTTTGTAAAGTTTACCTGACAATTGATTGCTGATTTACAAACTAAAATTTAATTATAATTTTGTTTCTTTGTAAAATATCAGTTTAATCTAGGAAAAAACCAAGGCACCCCATGAAAGTTTTTTATGAATCCGCACGGCCTGTAAAGTATTAATGAAAGTTTTAATAGCAAATATTACATATAAATATATAAGTGTCTAAATA